AATTCGAAATTAAGGATATTTTATCCTTAAAACTTCAACTCATAGTTTTACAAAATAGTTCAAAATCTTAAATCTCAATCCAATAACAATTCATACGTAAATTCAAGTACTCAAAAATATCATCCAATATCAAATACTCAGATCAAATAAAACTTCTAAACACAACTAATATGTAATTTTAAATGCTAAAATATTCATCAACTATAAAATATTCAAATAATTTCAAATAAATAATCATACATAGATTTACAAGGTAAAAATATAATTTTGGTTGACACAAACACTTACTTCAAACCCCAAATACTCTAGCAAGGCAATTCAAATACGCCAAATACTCCAAATACTCAATTCACCTTCCTTCTATGAATATTAAGATTCCATATAATTAATATCTTATCAACTAATATTTGAATTCCTCTACCTTTAGATAAATTCCCCTCTCTTAATTCTATAGCTATGACGGGGATGTGAACCCTAGCGGCAAAAACACAAGAGTTGTCCTCCAGATCGGCTTGTTCGGTTGCAGTGAAGGAGGAAGGCTTTCGTTTGGCGTTGGACTTACTTTTCTCTGGATTCTTCCTCCATTGTCTTGGTAGAGGTATGATTCAACCGGATTGTTCTTATCTTCTGGTTGTGTTGATTTTGTTTTATGGCGGTTCTTTTCCGGGCACTTGTGCTCCGGAGTGGTTTGTCTCTTTCGATGTGCGGAGTTCTTTTGGTGTCTTGACTACCTTCGTCTTGTCAAAGGTTTCTATTTGCCTTCTTGTAGAGTGCGAAGACATTGGCAGAATTCGTCTTCCTGCAAAAGCATCTATGTGCCATGAAGAGTTTTGTGTGAAGATTTTAGTTCTATTTTATTTTTTCATTAGTAGTACTTGTTTTTACTTTAGTTTGAGTAGGCTTGATTTGGATATTTGGACTTCTGGAGTAGGGTTGATAGACAGTTTTCAGTTCCGATTGTTTTAGCCTTTAAATCATTTATTTCGTGTCTAGCGAATCAGGTTGATTTGAATGGGGTGGCTGATTCTATGTCTATTCCCAGGGCTCACAATCAGATCTGTCATAACTGTCTGGATGTTACCTTGTATCTTTTCTCGACTTTATTATAAAAAGCCGATCCTTTATATATATATAAAATTATATATCTTCGACAATAATTAATATGTATAATAGTTCATGTTACTTTACGTCTGTAATTAGTCCAACATCAATATTCCTATAATAGTTCATGTTACTTTACATTATCCCAATTAAAAGTGACAATTTCAATAAAAGTGAATACTATCAATTTATAATTCTCCTAACCAATTTTATTGTTTTCATTATCATTGTTAATATTGCTATTATTAGTATCAATTTTTTATTATTATTATCATTATCATCATTAATACTACTATACTTTTATACAACCCAAAAATATTACTACCTCCGTCCCATAAAACTTTGTCATTTTCAAAACTTTGACCGACTATATCTTTTTATTGAAAATTATTTATAATATAAAATTTATATGAAAATGTTCTTTGTTAAAAGTACTTTCATAAAAGTATAAAATTTATAACTTTCATTATATTATACTAATCAAAATCAAGGTTCATTTTTTTTTTTTGAAACGGCAAAGTTTTTTGGGACGGAGGTAGTATTATTTATTATTATTGACATTATAATCGGCCCAGTTGAAAAATATCCGGCTCAATCTAAAACAAACCCAAAAATCTGTCCGTGTAAAACTAAACAACTATGGAAGAAAAAAGCGTACACTTTTGTTCCACACAAACTCCCTATTGATGAAAAGATTGTCCTTGATCCGTGACTCTATCGTCTCCAAGTTCCCCTCTTTGAACTTGGCTTTAGAGTTTTTGGCTAAGAACTCCTCTAATGGGAGGTTGTCCGCGGCCAAGATATATGATTTGTTCAGAATAAGGGTTGCACCGAAAATGTGGATGTCTTTTATTTGGAAACCCTATATCCCCTCCAAATTCTCATTCATTATGCGGCTAGCCTTGAGAAATAGGCTGCCTACTTGTGATAATTTGGGTTTTCTTGATGTGATTAACCTAGTCCTTTCTGTAAGGGTGGTCCGGAAACGGTTCCACACCTATTCTTTGGTTGTACCATTACAGGGGATGTATGGAACAGGGTGAGACATTGGCTTGGACTTACTAGAGAGATGACTACACTAAAGAGTGTCATAAAGTGGATTAAGGAGGAGCATAATGGAGCAAACATCAAGGCTAAAGCTATTAGGATCTCCTTGTGCTACACGGTCTATTAGGTGTGGAGAACAAGAAATGCAATCCTGTTTGATGGGGCATCCCCCAAAAAGGATGTAATGTTGTTACAAATCAAGTATTTGGTGTATAACTTGCTTTATGTTATGTAACTGGTTTCGCCCATTTTTGTCACGGCTAGATGGCTGATTTTTGGAGTGGATAGGTAGCTATGATGGCTGCCTATCAAGATTAGATGGTTAGGACATCCTTACTTTGGATTGCTTGTAGTTTTGCTTCTGTATATGATGTACATAAACACTTTTGGATATATATATATATATATATATATATATATATATATATATATAGAGGGCTGTTCTCATCAGGCCGGCCTGACGGGCTGCCCCGTCCGGCCGAGCCCGTTTGGGCACCTTCCCGGTGGAATTTTTTGATGAAATTTTTTGAGCATGTTCCTCATCAAGTCTAGTTTGTCCATACCAAATTTCAGCTCAAAATTCGATCGGGAAGGTCGTCAAATGATTTTTGCAAGTTAACTGGTCCGGAAAATACATATTCCGGACCAGTTAACTTGCAAAAATCATTTGACAACCTTCCCGATCGAATTTTGAGCTGAAATTTGGTATGGACAAACTAGACTTGACGAGGAACATGCTCAAAAAATTTCATCAAAAAATTCAACCGGGAAGGTGCCCAAACGGGCTCGGCCGGACGGGGCAGCCCGTCAGGCCGGCCTGACATGAAGTTTTCTCTCTATATATATATATATATATATATATATATATATAGTTCATCCAAAAAAAATTGGAAGAAGAAAGGCGTACACACTACAAGAATTTCCGAATTTAGTTTAGGAATTTAGCGAGGGATACTGTGCCCACCAGTATTTTGTTAGAAATTCTGTCAATAAGGCACAAAATACAGCTACAAATTAATGATCCCTAACATGCTATAGTTACAAAATACAATATTTGAGCATTTCATCTCTTGAGTCGTTCATTTGCTTTTATGATTGGTTAAAAGCTCGTCGTAGAACATAATAAGTTAACATAGCACTGAACCACCACTTCATGGAGAAAATGACAGCCGAAACTAGGAGAGACTCCAACGACTAGTTAATGTATTTAAAGTTTAAACTTTTCTCAATTGTAATTTATAAATGTCTAATATTCCAAATCAATGTAGTGTTTGAAATAAATATACATTTCATTTTTTAATGTGTAAAATTTTATTTTTATTTTAAAAAAAAAATCAAATACGGCCAGAACCGGCCCAGGGCCAGTCGGGTACCCAGACCAGGACCGCGCCCGTATATTTCCGGCTCAGTTCCAGTTTTCATAATTGGGATTTGGGAACCAAGACCGGCTGGTCCGGGACCGGGTCCATCCCTACTAAATTTTATGTAATACTCCCATTTTATCAAGTGTATTACCCATTTTATTAACTAACATGTATCTCCCATTTTATCAAGTGTAGGCTAAATGATAAATATATAACTATTACTATGTACTTCATCCTTCTACGTGTCTCCTATTTTTAATATCATTGCCATTTCTTTTTAGTTAATTATTTATTTTTGGCACTTAAGTGAAGAGAATTCAAAAAAGTACTACATCACAGTATCACACATTCACACTATTTGTCCTTTCAAAATGTGAGTTGAATAAAAATTGATTTACCACGTATTATTTATACAATGGGAGTTGGGACGGAGCATCATAAAACAAAAGGGAAAATGCAATCCATCATTCTAGCCACGACCAATATTAGACTAGAATTATCATCCATTATTTCATTTGACATTATATGGCATTAAATTAGTCAAATCCAGCCAACTCTACAATCACTATATACTTTATTTATATGATTTTACTCCGTATTACTTTTTTTTTTTTTTGAAAAAATACTCCGTATTACTTATTCATGAACAAATGAAAAGTGAACCTCAAATATAAGAGAACCATAATCGATATCCCGAATATATTTTATAGGTTTAAATATGTTTTAGTCTCTTGCAAATATAGTACATTTAGAGCCCGTTTGGTAGCACGAAAATCAAATGTTTTGGCTGTTTTTGCTGAAATTTATGAAGTTCTGACTGAAGTGACTGTATTGGCTTATTCTGCTGATTTAAGAAAAAATTATTTTAAAAATATATTTTATTAATAAAATAAAGAAAAAATTATATGTAAAAATAGCTAAAATGGTCATCTACAGTAACTTCAGCCAATACAACCAGAAAAGTAACTTCAACCTTATTTTTTCTGTTTATTACACAATTCAGCGCGCGAAAGCAAAAATTACGTGTTTGGTGAAAAAACTGGCTGATAAGCCTGATAAGCCGAAAAATAGTAGTTCCAAACAGCCTCTTAGTTTTACATCTCTGCAAAATTATTTTTTTGTTTTTCGTCCCTACAATTTAGGTTGATTTTCTTTTTATCCATCACTAATGATAACAATCTTCGTTTGACCTCAAAATAACCCCGATTAATAGATCTCCTCTAATTCTTTGTCATGATAAAAAAAAGTATTTAATTCTGATTTTTAGAAGGTTTTTAATGTATATTTATAAAATGTGAATACGTGGTTTTACACCATTTTAACTCTCATATTAGCTTAGAAAAAATTATAAAAGGAAGAATTTAAATATTTTAGTAAATTTATGTAACTGACAATAACTTTTTTTTGTAAGTAGAGTAGTTTCAGAATCATATGTGGACTAAAAACAAAATAATGCATATTGCAGGATGAAAAACAAGAAAAATATTTTGCAGGAACTTAAAACAAATTGTGTCATATTTAGACTAAAAACGTATTTAAACCTATTTTATATACATACATAGTTTTTTTTAGATATTGTAGATTCAAAAAGATGACAATAGTGTAACATCTATGCTAATCAGTTATCATGCTGCTGCAATTTCAGTGTCCAAATACACTTGAATGCTCAGCAATAAAAGTATAAAACGTTGTTCGGTCTTGAATTAAAATTTTCTTCATTACCTTGATAAGGAAAATGAAATGCAATCAAAAATACACTATCATGCTTTTACTTTTTTGTACTGCTTTATCTCCTTGATTACACCATCAGCAAGGGTGTCAACATCATTGTTCTTCCCAAAGAACTTCACAAACTCCATTTTAGGATCCATAAGGTACCTGCTCATATTTCAAAAAACATTATACGAAGTATACAAAACAGCACGAATATGTTTTAAAGTATCGAGCTACATGTGACCCGTTTAAATAATAGGGTGATGGGGTGAGGAGATACTCATAACAATAATACTATGTCCACAATGTAAAGTGATAAACATACATGACTATTGAATGATCAACAAGATAATCTGAGCCTTCCTCCTCTGTCTTCATGTAGTAAACTCGATAAGCACGTGCTGCTTTTTTTATCTCCTCCGGATTACCAGTGAGCCCTATTAAACTAGGATGGAATTCTGGAAGAGGACATTTTCAGAAATATGAATAAAAGTACTACTAGTAGAAACTACGTCTTTCAATAAAAAGAATAACAATAATCCCATTTGAGAAATCACCTTTGATATATTCGTGTACTTGCTCAACGGTATCCCTCTCAGGATCAACAGAGATAAAAACCGGCACTACATTAAGTCCTGACTTTTCTTCTGTAAAATATTCAAATAATAATAATAGTTAATATAATAAATTAATTAAAATATAATCATCAGCCCATAGTAGAACATTTTCAAACTCATAAGTAATTAAGTGCTACATACCAATTGAATAGGAAAAGAACTCAAACAAACAGTAAACTAATACTCCGTATTACAGTAGATACAATCTCCATAAATGCTAAAATAATAAAAGGGAGGTTTAGACCTTGCATCACACTTTTTAATCCTCACAATTGAGTTACCACAATACCACCCCATTTTCAAAATCATTAGTACTTGGACCCTGAAGCTCATCAAAATCAGTTAAAATGGAGTGTAAACTCCAATTTAGGGAGAGAAAAAAAAGATGGGTGTAAACACAAATTTCTAGGGTGCAAACTCAATTTTTTATGAAAAAATGGGGTGCAAACTTCAATCCTCCCAGAAAATGCTTTCCTGTCTTCTATCAGAAGAACATGGAACATTTACAAGACATGGACTTATCAGTCACCATTTAAGATGGATAATTAAAAATATACAGTGAAAGAGAAAATAGAACGGATGCTATAATAATCATGTCTAAGGAGCAAATGCACTAGTAATACAACAGCTATTTATAATGTACAAGGACAAAACTTAGATACAAAGTAGTAGACTATATGAAGTTGCTATTTTCAGAATTAGATTATTGTTTACTTATAATAGTAATGATGAGTACTTTGCCCCCCATCACAGTGCCAAAGTAAACCACGGGAAGACAGCCAAATAAGTAAAAATTGATCTTTTTATAACAGCAAGTGCGCAACTTGGTACAGCTTACTTATTTTATCAATTGCAGCAGCAAGCTTTTGTAGCTCATCTGGGCAAATATCTGGACAATGCGTGAATCCAAAATATAGCATGGTCCATTTTCCCAAAAAATCCTTTTCAGTGACAGGTTTTCCATTATGATCAATGAGGTTAAATGGGCCACCAATGGCTGCTTTTCCAGCAGACGGACCTTGTTTCACAGCATTAGAAGCACTGTTGATTCCTGCAGTGAAATGAGGATATTAGGTATTATTTGCGGATGCCAGAAGATTGATGAATTATATAAGATCCCATAACAGAAAAAATGACATACGGCAACAATAAGTGGGTGTAAGTCACAGGGGCGTAATAATATTAAAAATAGTACGGAGTATTAAATAGATAATGATGTATACTCTAGTGTCTTCTAGAATTCCTTTTTTGAATTTATTACTTTGTACAGCTATGTAAAAACTAATTATATATATAGTGGATAAATCCACCTCATGATTATTGAGGGAAATCAATACTCCGTATTTACATTATTATGGTATCAGCCTAATACCTAGGAAGCACGGAAACGCCGATTTAGACCACGTTCCCGTCCCGGAAACGTTTCGGAAACGCGAAACGCCGGGAAACGCCCGGAAACGGATGGGAAACGCTGAGAAACGTTTCTTTGCTCATGGACTGTTGGGCCGGGTTGGGAAACGTTTCGGAAACGGGAATATCATTGGGCCTGCGCGTTTCCACTTAATTTTCTAAAAAAATTGAGGGCGGTCAATCATGAGCTACACCATCGGGCGTTTAGTGTTTGTAAAAAACCTGCGCAGTTCGCTGGAGTCTGCCTCTACGATTATTATCCTCTCTTGAACTTAGCGACGCAGCAACGCTGGGTGAGTCGGTGACGAAGGGAGACACAGAGCGGAACGATCTCCTCTGGAGGCTGGACTTGGTGATTTGGTGAAGGCCTTCTGCTGCTGCGGTGCTGCTTACTGCTTAGCTTTTTCACTCAATGGGTGGGTAGGATTTACTTTTATAACGACATATGTTTTGTTTGATTATTTTGTACTTGTTGGACGTAAACATTACTCATACTAGTAAAATTTTAATTTTTAGTTCGACGTTTCCTTGCCGTACCCGTATCTTGATATTTTGGGTTTAGAGTTTCCTCGTCCCCGTTTCCGTCCCCGTTACCGTCCCCGTTTCCGTCCCGGTGCTACTTAGCCTAATACGCCGAACACCTTTCCTTCTTCCCAGACAAAATCCCTTCCTCTTCCGCTGTAATCTCCCTTCTTCAGCCTCATGACTTCTGCAACAACCAGCTCTGAATCTGTCCGTATTGCCACCATGGTGCATATGGTCACCATTAAACTTTCCTCCACAAATTTTCTACTTTGGAAAAGCCAAGTCTTCCCGATGCTCACTGGGCACAGCATTCGACCTTCTTGGATATGTTGATGGCTCCGTCTCTGCTCCTCCATCAACTATTCTCACCGACGCTGCTGAGACACCTAATCCGGCATATATAGCTTGGCGGGAAACAGATCAAAAAATCCTTGGTGTGCTATTCTCCACTCTGACGGAAGAATCCATGGCTGAAGTTGTTGGCTGCACAACCTCACATGAAGCCTGGCTTGTTTTGGAAATCACCTTCTCGCCCTCCTCTGCATCCCGCGCTAATCAACTCTGTGAGTCCGTGACAAGCTGCAATCCCTCCCCCGTTGTTCGCTCTCTATTACGGAATATGGCAGCAAGTTTAAAACTTTGTGTAATAAGTTGTCTGCAATTGACCGTCCGGTAGATGAATCGGATAAAACTCACTGGTTTCTACGAGGTTTAGGCCTTCAATTTGTGAGCTTTGCTGATAATCGAATGAGTCGGGATCCCATCCCCCCATTCCATGATCTTCTTCCTCCGACCCAACAATATGAGATTTTTCTTCGAACTACGGAGGATTCGATCCCTGATCCAGTGGCCTTTAACAGCTCTCATCGTCGTGAGCCCTATCCACGTGAAAATACCTCTCGCCCGCACCCTATCTCCTCTGGCCATGGCAGTTCTCGGAACACACGCAGTACTTCTGTCACAGGCTCTCGCTCACGTTCTGGTGGCAATGGTGGAATACGGAGTATTGATTTCCCTCAATAATCATGAGGTGGATTTCCTTCAATAATCATGAGGTGGATTTATCCACTATATGTATAGTAATGTCGTATGCACCCCAAGCATGTTCACGTCTTTTGTTAGAAAATAATATATGGCAAATGGTTTATGGGTTTTGGGGTTTAGCTCAGCTGTGAGCTAAGTGCTTGCTCTGCTCAGCATGAGCTCCACTTTGATCAATAATGAAATGTATCTAGCATTATGAATGAAGAATTGAGTGGATAAACTACATTATGATGTAGGTCTAAACAAGCAGTAAACAATTTACATGTATTTATTCTATATCCCAAGGTCAGAATCCTATCTCTCATCCCCTCAATGCTATATCCAATGTCAATCGTTCGGTTCAGGGGCATTCACACATGATGGGTATTGACAGGGGAACTGTGAACATAAATTTGTACGCAGTATATTTCTTCTACTTAATTTTACAAAAAGGTGCATCCACAAGTAATTTGGCCAATGTTCCAGTGATACATTTAGTACAACCAATACCACAACTCACCATAGTAATCTACCTTCAATATGCCGCTTCTTTTCCCTGTCATAGTAGTAAACCAAACCTGCTCCAGTTCCCAGAAGCAGCAAGAAGCTCATCCATGAAACTGGCTGCATTGTCCATTAATGATCATTACATCAAACTATTTAAGCAAAAAGAAAGTGAAACTTTATTTCTTTAGTTTTCAAAAATCTTACTAGTATTTAAAAGGAAATAACTGTCATTGACTAATCAAATGATTTTAGAATCAATAACAAATAATAATTGCAAGTACAAAATTTCTAAAAAAACAACTAAAGTTAAGACTTGATTATTTGCTCTACCACATACGGCGTAGAACATAACCAAAATAAAACTTCTGAAACCCATTGATCTCAAATCTAAAATAATGACTAGGTTATTCCCGTCTTTAGATGGACATGCTACACATCCAAGTCCAAGGATTCCCTCGTAAAATACCGGAGCAGAGAAATTGGTCATAAAGCGAGAAAGAATGAGAAGAATTACGCTGCCTCTGACAGATTTTCCTTGCTCAGCAGTCTTCTGCGACCCACCAGAACCTTCTCCTTTCCCGGAACTATCTTTGGAGGATCCGCTATTTGATTGATTAGCTGAAGAAGCAGTAGTGCACAGCATCCTAAGCCTGCAAAAATAGTGACCAGCCCCGGCTTCTGACTGGCCCAAACGAACGTCCTGAAACTAATAGAAAACGAATTAACTATAAAATAGATCAATAATTATAAGTATTCGTTTTGTATGTATAAAATTGACGAGTTTCAAAAAGAGAACCCGAGGCGAAAGTGGAAGGAGGGTTCGGGGACGGCAATGAGCATCAGGAACGCTATGAAAGAGACGAGAACGGTTGTTGGTTAAAATCCATTGGTTCAAAGCATTCGACGACGAAGAGGAGAAGAAGCGACATAGATTGCGAATTCGCGAACCGCTTCTGGAAATTGCAGTAGTTTTCATGTTTGATCGGGATGATGCTATTTGCCGCTTGCTTCTTAGTCTTATTTGCCGCTTGCTTCTTAGTTTTTCTGTGACACGACTTGATCTAAACCTAAGCTATAAACCCTACCGAGTTCAGTAGTATTGGTCTATTGTTTGTTTTTCTCTAATCTCTATCTCTAATCTCTAATAAAGGTTAGGTTATTTTGGACTTGAAAAATGTGTTGGTGTAATCACATGCTAAAATGAACTTGAAACCTATGCATAAACTATTGTACTCTAATCACTTCTCTAATCTCTAATAAAGGTTAGGTTATTTTGGACTTGAAAAATGTGTTGGTGTAATCACATGCTAAAATGAACTTGAAACCTATGCATAAACTATTGTACTCTAATCACTTCAACTCTTTTTATACCACAAATATCCCCAACTTTCTGTTACTTAACTATAACTCCGGCTACACTCCGTAAAATTCTCTATCGGCTTCTTTAATTATCTCCGTTCGAAGGCTTTATACTCCGTATTAAAGTTTAGATTTAGAAGAATGGATAGCCATCCATAGTCTAATGTTGACCCATACCTTTTATTAATTTGTAATGGGAAAAATAATTAAAATAATCCAAACTTTGAAGTGATGTGAGGTAAGCACCCTAAACTTGCATATGTAAGTTAAATACCCTAAACTTTATATAAAAAGTTATTTTAGTACCATGGTCATGCATTATTTCTTTCAAAAATGTTAATTTTTGGTGTTAATTTCATAATTTGAAATATTTTAGCATTCATGAAGACTCAATCATTATTCTAAACTTCCATTGAAAAATAGATAACACCACCTCCACTTTATATAATTGGACCGTTTTTAATTTTTTATTCTAAATTATGCAATTAACAACATAAATTTACATTTTTGAAAAAAATAATAAATGACCATGGTGTTAAAATAACTTTTTATATAAAGTTTAGGGTATTTAAACTACATATCAAAGTTTGGGGTGTTTATCTCACACCCCTTTAAAGTTTGGGGTATTTTAATTATTTTTCTCATTTGTAATTCGTTTTTTAGAACCAAGTTCTTAATTGATGCATTGTATTCGTTCAATATAGTTTAAATATAAAATCTTCTCATTATCGATCCAACGAGCATTTTCTAAACATAGGTACAGATCGAAAAGATGATGTTGGGTACTTTCATACGGAGTATAAAGGTCCGTTTGGTAAACCTGTTTTCCGACTTGTCAAGATTTTCAATCAGCTTTTTCATCAAGAGTCCGTTTGGTAACTTTGAAATTGGCTAAAGTGACTTATTCTGCTAAAATTTAAGAAGTTCTAGCTGAAGTGACTCTATTGACTGATAATGCTGATGTATGAAAAGATTATATTTAAAATATTTTTTATTAAAAAATAAATAAAAAATTATATGAAAAACATCTAAAATGATCATCCACATAACTTAAGCCAATACAACCAATAACCAACTTCAACCTTACTTTTTCTTGTTATTACACACTTCATCGCGCGGGATCAAAAGTTACGTGTTTGGTGAAAAAACTGACTGTTAAGTCCGACCAGCATGGTAAACGGGCTCGTAACATTTTATTTCGCGCGTTGAATTGTTTAATAATAAGAAAAAATAAGGTTGTAGTTACTTTTATGGCTGTATTGGCTAAAGTTACTGTAAATTATCATTATCGCTGTTTTTTCAAAATAATTTTTTCTTAATTCTATTTTTAAAAAATATTTTAAATATAATTTTCTCATAAATCAAAATAGTCAGTCAATCTATCCATTTCACCCAAAACTTCACAAGTTTCCGCAGATCCAGTCAATTTCAGTGTTACCAAACGGGCTCTAAGTGTGTAATGTATTAATTTAAATTATGTGATATAATTGTTTAACATTAATGTTAGTTATCAATCAAATAGAGATCATATCTACTTTTAAATATAATGACACACTTGGCTTACTCTCTGGATTTGAGCACTTGTGTTTTCCTAAAAAGTTCTTCTATAAAATATACCTATTTTTATTATAGGATTGACAAATTCTTGTCAATTTCCACACATTATTGTTTCATAAAATAGTACGGAGTATAAGTGAGTATGTGACATACGCGGTGTTTGTGCGTGGTTAATGGTGTTTTTAACGACAGTTATGTTGTCATTGCAAAAAAAATATTGATCTATGTGTGGTCTATGTGCACTTTTCTTGTAGTGTCAGTTATGCATCACTAAACATTTATAGTAATATTTTTTTATTTTTGTACGCGATTATTTAACTCCTTGAGCTCTCACAGTGACATCAATTTTGTAACGATATTTATGTTTAGGTGCTAAGTAAGCTTAAGTTATACAACCTGGTGACAGCTACCCTTCATCATATGAGACGTAGTCACACAATGGCTGAGAACTTTGTTTTTTTAGTCTTCATCACTTAGCTTGGTTAATATATATAATAATACGGAGTATATTTTATCACAAAGTATGCTTTAATTTTGTTTTCGTCTACCAAAACTGGTTGTTGTATTTTGCCACGATTATGCTCTTTTTGATCAATGTATTTATATGCCTACTCATTTTTTTTCAAAAATATGATACCTAAATTTACTTTTAAATTTTCCGAAGCGCATGCATACATAATTCAACAGATTAAAGTGTAAAAAAGGCCAATCTAGAAAATATATTAATATTTACATTACATATATCATATTGGGCATGAACTCAATCGCGCATCGCGCGCAGAAAAACTAGTTTTTGACAGAAGTATTGGTCTATTGTTGGAGATAATATTTAACCATTTCACAGAACAAAAACTAGAGTATTTGTTCAATCATACTCTCTTAATAAACTAAGTAGTATTTTTTTTTATTACACATCATTGCCACATCATATTTGTTCAATGAATTTTATTGGAACAATTAAAATATGAGAAACAATTTGTTCACTTTTGATACTTGACTAATGTTTTTAATCATTTGTGGTCCTTTTTCGGCGATTTTAACTATCGGAAACCATGCCTGAAGGACCATATTTGAGTGAAAATACAATAGTCGTTTATCAAGAATGGACAAAGTAAAAAACGTGGACTAAATGTGGAATTTGCGATCAAAAGTGGAATTTATTATTATTATTATTTGATACATTTGGGTCATGCGTGAAATTAATAATCCGTATTTTGTTGGAGATGCTCTTTGCAAGAAAGCAGTTCAGATGATCAGACTGGTCTTTAGCTTGAATATGGAGAAATGGAGAAGGTCCAACATGTCTCTGCCTAAGAGAAGCTAGGCACTGTAACCAATATAAAACAAAGGCTATGCTAAATTTGCATATTCAGACAGCTCAATCTGAATGACACAGTGAATTCCAGAAACTCTTTTGAAACGTTTAGCCCTGGAGTCCGATGGCCATGTTCGCAAAGCGTATTTTCCAGATGGCCACTCATCATCTCCCTCAGGTACTTATCACTTACTATCTACGTTCATTTCATAAAATCGAATGTTGACTTATTCTCCCGAGATAATTTCCTGGCTTGTGTTTTTGCTGGTAATGATGATCAGTGATTACGACCGTCAAAAATTAGTGTTTTGGGATTCTTCAGCTAAAACAGGAATTATCACTGTAACACCATGTTCGCAAACTAAATTCTCTCTTAAATTACTCTTTACAGTGAAGTGGACGTTTGTAACTGAGGTGCTAACATTACTCTTTATTGCGACACCTGCTGATGAAGTATAACAATATATCTGATTTTATTAATGAATGTTGCATAAGTTAGATCAGGACTTTGCTGCAATCTGATGGAAAGACTCTTTAAAGTTTGAGATTTTAAATTTTATATACTCCGTACTTAATTTAGTAGAAGTTTAAAGTTAATGAATTGATGAACTGGAAGTGCAGTCACTTTCTAGAATGCTGTGGAAGCAACCCATTTGAGTTAATATGTTTACGGATTGACATGGGTTCATACTTTATTTTCTGTTATTTATTGTGATAGTCCATAATATCCCTTGTAAATCAAATCTTTGAGGATGTTTTATGGTTTATTGTGTACTTTTTCAGCACAATGTGGGTGATTACCTAAGATCCAATGAACTTAACCTACAAATTAGTGTACACTATGGTATTCCGTCAACAGCATCAATCCTAGCTATTGATCCAATTCAGCGCCTCTTGGCTGTAGGAACTCTGTAAGTGTAAGCTGTGTCAATCTGATTTTTTCTTAAGTGTGAAAAATGCTGCTGTAAAGTTATAGAAGTTAATTGTAGTACTCTGTTCTATTTAAATTAACACTCGGCATTGCCATGTGCTGGAAAATTAGCTGGCCTTACATAGAGTCAATGGTTGTTTTGACATGAGCTTGATCTCCTGCTGGAGATACTTAATTTATAATAGATGGGATCAATATTACTAATGTCTGATGTTGCTGCGTACTACTTTGGAAATGTTAGTAGACTTGTCATTTCATGCCTTCAAGAGGTTTCACTGCATCTTTTGATTTTCTTTTTTGCAGAGATGGTAGAATTAAAGTAATCGGAGGAGATAATATTGAAGCACTTTTGGTTTCCCCAAGGCAATTGCCATACAAATACCTGGAGGTTTTATTCACATCAGTCCACCACTGAAGTTTGCTATTCCACTATTTTTATTTATATTCTGCGAAATGCAGTGTTGTTGGGGTGCAATTGTTCTCTCTTTTAATGAAGTAATATTTATCACCAGATGACTTAAAGTCTGTTGGTTTTATTTCTTCAGTGTTGTTAATTAAAAAAATGCTTTAAGACCTTAGGGTAGCTTAGTAAATTTGGATGTTGGAAAACATGCCTCTTACTATTTTTTATTGACTGGAGTCTGCTATACTCTAACGCCTCACCCTAGTTATTCTTTATCATGTTTGTACAGCTATATTATGTCTTTAACTGCTTTCAATTTGTAGAGTTTCCCTAGGGACACTAAATTTTTATCTAGCTGTGAGGGCTTTAAAGGAAGAAAACAAAGGTTATAAATTCAGGGGTTAAGAGAAATATAAAGCTACCAGTAGCAGGATTCTTAAATTTTATAGCAACTTTGAATGACGTGATCTAAGGAATCAATTTAAGGACTGTTCGTGTTTGTTTCTACTTTTGAGAAGTGATTAACTTTAGAGATTATATATGAAAAG